CCCTCAGCTCTTCAGCTCAAGGCAAGCGCTCTACCACTTGAGCTACAGTGCCACTTCTGGTTTTCTGGTGGTTTATTGGAGATAGGAGTCTCATGGTCTCTCCTGCCCGGGCTGGCTTTGAACCATGATCCTCAGATCTCAGCCTCCTGAGTAGCTAGGATTACAGGTGTGAGCCACCAGCGCCTGGCTAAGTCTGTGAAACTCTTATATCCAGTGAACCGCCAAAAAGCTGGAAATGGAGCTGTTTCAAGTGGCAGAGCACAGCCTTGAGCAAAAAACCTAAGGCTAAGGGACAGAGTTCAAGCTCTGAGTTCAAGCCCTAGGATCAACACATGCGTGTGCGTGTGTGTGCGTGCACATCATGCACACACAGAGATTGAGTCACTCAGGGACAGATAAACACAGATGCCAAGGTGAGAACACCAGGGACACCAGCAGAGCCAGGGTGGGGGTGCTCAGAGAAGATACCATACTGAGAGGAAGCCAGAGATCCACAGGAGGAAGGGGCAGAGAAAAGTGAGACGGCAGAGACAGAGCACAGCCACACAGCAGGGATGGAAGCCAGGTGCGCAGCCAGGCAGGTGGGGAGGAAGTGTGGCAGGCAGGAAGTGTGGCAGGCAGGAAGAGGCCTTGAGGGGCGAGGCCGGGAGAGGGGGTGGGTACCTGGGTGGTTGTTCTGTATTCCTCCAAAGTCTTGGCTAGGCTCTCGGCGTGCAGGGTGCGCTGGAAAAGCCAAAGGTGCCTGAGACTGTGCCCAGCGCCCCCCCCCCACATGGCTGCTGCTATTGAGGATGGAATGTGGTGACTGGGGTTGAGAGGGGACAGCTAGGGTAGGGGACAGGATGGAGAGGGACCTCCAGATCCCATGGGATCATGCATGTGAACTTAGGGAAACCTCCAACCCTCTGGGCTGCTTCTCTAGGGGTCAGACATGGACTTCCTTGGCTAGACGAGGGACAGAAGGCAGGGGGTATGGGGGGCAGCAGTTCTCACCCCAGGCCTCCTCACCTCGGACAGAATGGCATCTCGCTGGCAAATGAGGCGTTCATATTCATACAGCTGCCTCTGCCGAGGAAGCAGCATATCAGTCTCTTCACCCTTGGGCCACCTCAGCCTGAGTCTCCCTCTGGCTCATCCCATCCTCCCAAGGCCCTCTCCTCAGCTCTGGAACATCCCTGGACATCAGCAACCCTCTGGGGGATTCAGGCCTTAGGGAGGGTGGCACCTTCAATGTGTCCTTCTCTGTGGCCAGCTCCTCACTCCTCCTCTTCACTCCATCCCGCTCAGCCAGCAGCTTTCCATTCTGGGGAAGGAACAGCCTGCCATAACTTTCTCTTAGGTACCTCAGGCCTCTTGTGAAGCACTTCCTATGTCTTAGCCGCTTGAACTCCCCAACTATCCTGGGGTACCTGAGCTCTAATTTCTTCATGTGTGGCTTTTTCTCTCAATAAGCAAGAGAAAAATAGGACTTACTCCTTGGGTCCGATTTGCTACTTCCTATCCCACTTGCTGTGGACTCAATGAGCTAATGATTTCTAACATCCTCTGATCACCATCCTTCTTTTGAGACAGGGTCTTGCTCATATAGCTACTGACTTTGAATTCTCAGTTCTCCTGCTTCAAGCCTTCTAACTGCTTGGATTACAGAGGAGGATATCACACTTTATTGGATTACAATTTTTTCTTTTAGCATACACGAAAAGTAGAAAGCACAGTATAACCAGGTATAGTGCTCGTGCCTGTAATCCCAGTAGCAACTTGGAAGTTATTAAGAGGATTACTGTTCAAGCTTATCTTCGGGAGAAAATTATTATTATTATTTTGTCGGTCATGGGGCTTGAACTCTGGGCCTGGGTGCCATCCCTCAGCTCTTCAGCTCAAGGTGAGCACTACCACTTCAGCCACAGCGCCACTTCCGTTTTTTTTAAGTGATTTATTGGAGATAAGAGTCTTGAAGACTTCCCTGCCTGGGCTGGCTTTGAACCACGATCCTTAGATCTCAGCCCCCTGAGTAGCTAGGATTACAGGCCTGAGCCACTGGTGCCCTGCATGGGGGAGGGGAAATATTGAGCCCCTCAACAAAAACAACAAACAAGGCCTGATGGCACACACACATTATTTCAGCTACACAGGAAGGGTGAGTATGAAGAGCTTCAGTCTAGACTGGCATGTACAACAAAAATGGAAGGCCCAGTTTGAAAGACAACTGAAAAGCCAGGCACCAGTGGCTAACACCTGTAATCCTAGCTACTCAGGAGGCTGAGATCTGAGGATCGCAGTTCAAATCCAGCCTGGGCAAGAACATCCATAAGACTCTTTTTTTTTTTTTTTTTTGTCGGTTGTGGGGCTTGAACTCTGGGTCTGGGCGCTGTCCCTCAGCTCTTCAGCTCAAGGCGAGCGCTCTACCACTTGAGCTACAGCGCCACTTCCGGTTTTCTAGTGGTTTATTGGAGATAGGAGTCTCACAGTCTTTCCTGCCCGGGCTGGCTTTGAACTGCGATCCTCAGATCTCAGCCTCCTGAGTAGCTAGGATTACAGGCGTGAGCCACCAGCACCCGGCTCCATAAGACTCTTATCTCCAATCAACCACCAGAAAACCAGAAGTGGCACTGTGGCTCAAGTGGTAGAGTGCTTGCCTTGAGTTGAAGAGCTCAGAGCCAGCACCCAGGCTCAGAGTTCAAGCCCCATGACTGACAAAAAAAAAAGGGGGGGGAGGAGAAGGATTGGGATGGGGGGGAGGGGGGAGGCTGGGAAGGGATGTGAAGGGTAAACAAAGGAGGAGGCTGCAATGCTTGGTAAGAAATGTATGCATTATCTTGCCCATGTAATTGTAACCCCTCTGTACAGTATGTTCACAAATAAAATAAAATTAAATAAAAGAAAGAAAGAAAAAACTGAAAGAGGGTGGTGGTGTGATTCATGCAGAACATCTGCTTAGCAAGCCCAAGGCCCTGAAATCAAACTCCAGTAATGCTGGCGCGCGCACGCACACACGTGCACACACGCGCGCACACACACATCTCACCATAAAATTCCATTAGCCATTATAAGTTGTCAGTTCTAATAACTTATGCCTTTTCCTTGTTTTGCTTATTCTCCAGATCTCTCATTTTAAAATTATTTTAAAGCAAAAGCACCACATTATGCCATCTGATGTTCCTGCAGCACTGTCTCCTACCTGAGCACTGCCTGCCTGCACAGAGCTGGACCACATCGCCATCCATACAACAAGCAATGACCCCTTGGTGTCATTTGTTTTTTTTTGGTCCGGTCGTGGGGCCTGAACTCTGGGCCTGGGCACTGTCCCTCAGCTCTTCAGCTCAAGGCTAGCGCTCTACCACTTGAGCCACAGCGCCACTTCTGGTTTTTTTCTTTTTGCTTATGTGGTGCTGAGGAATCGAACCCAGGGCCTCAGGCATGCAAGGCAAGTGCTCTACCACTGAGCCACCTTCTCAGCCCCCCTTTGGTGTCATTTGTATGGAGGGCTAAGGAATCTCCCAAATACCTTTGTATAGGCTGGGAATGTGGCTTAATGGTAAGCGCTTGCCTAGCACACATGAAGCCCTGGATTCGATTCTTCAGTACCATATAATCAGAAAAGGCCAGAAGTGGTGCTGTGGCTTAAGTGTTAAAGGGCTAGGCTGAGCAAAAGCAGCTCAGGCACTGAGTTTAAGCCTCAGGACTGGGAAAAAAAACAAAACAAAAAATGAAAAACAAATGCCTTTGAACATTTCATTTGTTTTGGTGAAGATCCACACAAGGACCCTATTGCTTTCGGGGAGTGGGTACCCTATCTTTAACTGTAAATTTTCCCTTTATCACTTCTGTGGTAGAAAAAGATTTGTCAGGCCATGCACCAGTGGCTCACGCCTATAATCCCAGCTACTCAGGAGGCTGAGATCTGAGGATTGCAGTGTAAATCCAGCCCAGACAGGACTCTAATCTCCAATTAACCACTAGAAAACTGGAAGTGGTGCTATAGCTCAAAGTGGTAGAGCACTAGTCTTGAGCAAAAGAGGTTAGGGACAGGTCCCAGGCCCTGAGATCAAGCCCCACAACTGACAAAAAAGAAAGAAAAATAGGTTGCCAGGTAGAATTTGGCCCAATTTGCTTGGGCTCATTTTGCTCTGTTCACTGTTTTGAGCAGCCAGGCTGGGTATGTGGCTCACCCCTGCAATTCTAGCTGAGGCTAAGATTTGGAAGATCACTGTTCAAAGTCAGATCAGGCAGAGAAATACTCAAGTCTCCATCTTGAAAAATGAGCAAAAAGCCAACCAGAGGAGGCATATCTCAAGTGGTAGGACACCTGTGGAGCAAGCAAGCAGAGTTTGAGCCTTGAGTTCAAACCCAATACCAGAAGAAAAAACAAAAGAAGGAAAAGGCTGAACTGTTGAGGTGGTCACAAAGGATGTATTTCAAGAGGTGCTGAGTCTTCCTCCTGTGCCCTTGGGGCCACAGAGGCCCACGAAGGCTGCTGAGCCATTCTACTGTGTCCTCAGGGATGGAGGCCTGCTCCTCCCTCTCTGGTTGGCTTAGCTCCACATCCTCCATCAGCTGCCTTGGCTCTGTCTCAGCGGGCCTGGGCTGCCAGGTGAAGGGCGGAGGAAGGGCAGGCCAGGAATGCTGTGTCAACATCTGTCCACCTGGTGGGGATCTGCAGGCCAGGGCCAGGCTGCACGGCAGGGAGCTGGCTACTCAGCTGTTCTGCCTCCTGCAGGATGGGAGCTAGGATCTCCACAGCGGCACCTTCAGAGGGCTGAGTGTCCGTTACCCAGCATTACCCGTGGTAACCTGAGCACTCAATCTATAGCTGCTCCGTAAGCAGCTGTGGTGGCGAGGAGGGAGCCAAGAATAGCCCAGTTTATCGAGCGAGCGAGCCAGCAAGCCAGTGAGGGAGAGAGCACCTAGGAAGTCCCATGCACTGATCAAGGCACTTCAACTGGAAGCAACTCAGTGACAGTGCTTGTCTCTCGGGTCCTGGGCCCTGGATTCTGTTCCTACCACTTCAGAAGGAGGAAACCAAGAACAAAAAGATGAGGACTGGCAGGGAGGTGTCATGTGTCTCTCCAGGGTGCCTGTGTGTACATGGCATAGACAGGATTGAAACTCAGGGATGCCTTGGGAGTCCCTGTTCTTGTTGGGTTCTTTTCTACTTTGGTTGACGTGCAAGTGCTAAGGATGACTAATGGGGGACCTTGCCATGTTAATCAAGTGCTCCACCACAGCCCCGGCTTGCCTATGTTCTTTGTACTGTAGCAGGATGACTGTATAATGATGCTGGTGAGCACTGAATGCAGGCCTGTGTGATGAGCATGGGCATTGTGTCCTGCTGCTGTCTCAGACTCCCAAAAGACATCTGGTTTCAATCCTCCACAGCCCCCCGATCACATCAGTGAAGGGGACATGTGTGCCAAGAGCTCGGGCGCCTTCATCCTCCCCTCCCCACCCCCGCCCCATATTCTTGTCAAACATGCCCCCTCACACTCTGTGCTGTGGCTCCAGAGAAAGCCAGCACTACTGGATACTAAACTTCTCCCCTTCAGGTTGAGGCTGGTTTGCTGTAAGCAGCCAGGGCCTGGAGGGGGACAGGAGCAGGGCTAGGAGTGGGCGGACCTGGACTCAGGGCCTCCAGGCCTTGGCTTACCTCCTCCTGCAGAGTCTCCACCTCAGCCACCAGATGTTGCTGCTCCTTTTCCTGGGCAACCCAGACAAGACAAAGACTTCTTTTGCTGCTGACTTGCTCCCCCAGAGCCCTCCACCCCACCCAAGAGCATAGTCAGAGCCCGGAGCATGAAAGAACAGGACTGTGTCTAGAGTCAAAAAAATGGGTGGCAGATAGGCCTGAGAAAGTAGGACCTGGAGCAGGGGAGGAAGCCAGATGACCTTGCCCCCTCCTACCCCACAGCCAGGCTCTATTGGCTAATGTCAAGAAGGGAACGGGCAAGGTGCCTTGGTGGCCCCCTGGGCTGGCACCCACCGTCTGCCGAGCCTGGGCCAAGAGGCTGCGATTCTGTTCTTCCAGGTTTTTGGCCAGAGTCTTCAAATCCTCCAGTTCCTCGTCCACAGCCTTGGCGAACTGCAGGGCCTGCTGGGTGCTGTGTGGAGCAGAAGCAAGGACCAGATGATGAGCAAGGGGGAGAGACAGTAGCAAAGGAATCCCGAGTAGGGAACACCCCGAGAGAGAAGGGCAGCACAGTGCAGGCTGGAGGAGCCGTTCATCTTTCCACTGAGGAAGTGAACAGAGACCTGGGGAGTGGGAGGCTGTAAGTGTGGACTGTGTCAGACATGAGGCATGGTGAGCAGAGGCAGGAAAAGGCCAGTGACACAGAGCATCACAGAGGAAAGGAGAGAGAGCCTAAGGGAGGGCACTACAACAAGGTCTCGGAGACAAGAACCAAAGGAATAGGGGCAAGGGAGTAAAGAGAAGGAAGACAAATACAGGGCTGAGACACGGGGTATGGGCTGTAGAGAGCCGGATACAGCTGGGGCCTCTCAGGAGTGAGCTGGCCTGGGTGCTGGGGTGGACCCACCTGCGGAGCTGCTTGCGCAGGGCAGAGATCTCCTCGCCCAGGCGCGCAGAGCCCTCCTCAGCTGTCTCCACGCTGCGCTGCAGCTTGGCGTTCTCCCCGGCCAGGCGCCGGTTGCTGAGTTCCAGGTCCTCCAGGCTGCTCAGCAGGTCAGCTGTGGCAGGCCTGGGGGCCAAGAAGGGCCAAGTCAAGGCACAGCCAGACCCCCTTTGGGAACAGGGGAGGGAGGCATTAAGAGGGAGACAGGGTTCATGTGAAGAAACAGGAGCAGCACTGCTCTGTTCTTCCCCAGCTCTTGGCCCATGTCCCCTAGAGGACCCCAAACCTGATCCACATCTGGGCAGATTAGAGAAAACAGGGAGAGGAGGGGCAGGGAAGGGCCTGAGGATAGGTACGGCTCGGGTCGGGGGTCTTCGCCTCCAAAGCTCTCCAGGTTGGCTGGCTCCTCAGCTTCTGAGCTTCCTGGGGTGGGAGGGAGACAAGAGGGGTTTGGGCGTCATAGTGACCTAAACATGAGCCACTCCAGAGCCATGGCTTCCTCTCCCTTTGGTCTTCCATTTTGCTCTGAGTCATCATCTGGAGTTCCCAGGGCTGCAGGCCTGGCCCATGTTCTGAAGCCTTTGTTCATTTCTTCCTGAGGGTCGGGTCAGTGGACATGGCAGGGCTAAGCCCCTCCTCCTTCCTTATGCCCGATGCTGGGCAGCACCTCAACTTCCCCAGGTTTCAGCCCACTCCTCCTCATCTCCACAGTCTGTCTGCACACAGGCCTGTACCCCTACCTGGGACTCTGTTCCACCCCTCCTCTTCCCACTGCCTGACTTGGCTCAGACTTGTTCTACTAGATCCTCAAGCCAGCCTCCTGGTCTCCACTCTCTTCTTCCTGTCCTTCTATGGGCCCACAGCTGGCCTGCCCGCCCCCCTTCTTTTTGATCAGTCATGGGGCTTGAACTCTGGGCCTGGACACTGTCCCTCAGCTCTTCAGCTCAAGGTGAGTGCTCTACCACTTGAACCACAGCGCCACTTCTGGTTGTTTTCTGGTGGTTAATTGGAGATGAGTCTCACAGACTTTCATGCCCAGGCTGGCTTCAGACCATGATCCTCAGATCTCAGCCTCCTGAGTAGCTAGGATTACAGGTGTGAGCCACTGCCACCTAGCAGCCTGCCCCTTCTTGACCTAAGAGATGGTAGCAATACGCAGTTTTAGTTTGGGTTTTATAAGGCAAGAGAAATATAACGACCACTTTTTTTTATGTGTGCTGGTACTGAGGGGGGCTTGAACTCAGGGCCTGGGCGCTATCCCTTCATTTTCTCATCCAAGTCTAGTGCTCTACTCCTTGAGTCACAGCTCCACTTCTGGCTTTTTGGCTGGAGATAAGAGTTGCTCAGGGGCTGGGAAGGTGGCTCAGTGGTAGAGCGCTTGCCTTGCATGCCTGAGGCCCTGGGTTCGATTCCTCAGCACCACATAAGCAAAAAGAAAAAGCCGGAAGTGGCGCTGTGGCTCAAGTGGTAGAGCGCTAGCCTTGAGCTGAAGAGCTGAGGCACAGTGCCCAGGCCCAGAGTTCAGGCCCCACGACCGGACCAAAAAAAAAAAGAGTTGCTCAATTTCTGCACAAGCTGGCTTTGAATTGTGGTCCTAAAATGTCAGCCTCCTGAGTGGCTAGGTTGACAGGTATGAGCCACTCGTGCCTAGATAGAGATATGGCCACCTTTGTAGATAGAGGCCCTTCTCCTTGGTGTGACCTCCTGGGCACAGGAAAGTGAGCAAATCAACCCACCCTGACCCAGAGCGAGGCCTGAGCAGCCAGGCAGCTGATCCAGAAACAGGCATCTGGGTCTACCAGTGAACCAGGAATGAGGGAACCTGGGGGTCTGAGCACCCCAGGTCTTTTCCTTTGAGGTGTGAAGGGTGAGGACAGGTAGGGTAGACCTGAGGGCCAGGGAAGAGACCCTGCGGGGACTGGAGCAGAAGGAGGCGGTACCAGGTCCTCAGTGGCTCTAGAACAGGGTGGCATTGGGAGGAAGGGTTGGAAACAATCCTGGGGGAAAAAACTCCAAACCTAAAAGCTTGGAGAAGACAAGAGGACAGTCAGAGAGGCACCTAGAAAGCCACACTCACAGCTCCAAGGGAGAGCAAAGAGGTCTGGCTACCCTTCATCCCTTTCTCTGGTGGATGGGGACCCCCTCCCCCCCCACTGACCCCACACGAGTCCTTCTATATATAGCCTCTCACCAGATGGCAGGTGCTGGGGGGCCAGGGCTCCCTCCGAGGCGGTCTCTTCTGCCAGCTCTAATCCCCTGTATCAAAGGGATGAGGCTTAGCCCCCTGCAGCCACCACAATTGGGACCTGCCACGGCAGGGGACAGTGCAGGGAGGGGGGGAGGATGAGTCAGGTGAGAGTGGATGGCTGCAGGAAGAAGGTGAGGCCAGATGGCAAGTGCCCAGGGCCAGATGGCAAAGCAGGAGGGGCCGGGACTGGGTTGGTGAAGGGATGGGCAGGGGCTCTCTTCATCTCCAGACCCCTTTTGTTTCTGCCTCGCAGAACCCCTGTACCCCTCCCTCTCCACCCCATTTGTAATTTTTTTCACCTTTGTAACCTCATTTCAACCCACAGTAGGTCCCTGGGCCGACCAGGTGCTGGATGCAGTAAGCGGGTATGAGGGTTAGACTTGAGGAAGGACCTCCCCGGACAGGCTGGAGGTGCATGGACTCACCCATGCAGCTGACACGCAGCTATCCAGTCCCGCATGACCACCAGGAAGGTGTCCAAGTCTACAGTGGCATCTGGGCCCTGCCCGTCGGGGTCTAGACTGTGGGCCAGCGTTTGGAGACGTGCATCCTGAGGACCCTGGCCTGTCACTGCCTCCAAGTAGCCTAGCACATGTGTCACAGCCACAGAGCCTGGAAGAAAGCACACCATGGGTGGGGCTGGGTTGGGCAGTGTAGAATGGGGGTGCAGGATGTCGCTGGCTAGCTTGGTGGTGCCCCTGACCTACGGCGTGTAGATGTCTTGGGAAGGTCCTTGTCTCTCCTCTGAGTCAACTTTTTACTCATCCCACAGTGTGGACCAAAGACGCCAGAGTGCAGGGGCCGTAGTGTATGTTCCCCAGGCCCAGGGTGGTCCCCAAAGCCCTCCCTCTTCCATCAGGGTTTCCCAAGTTCTCTCGATCCTAGAAGACCACCGTCCCCTTTCCTGAAGCTTCCACAATCACCTGTTTGCTCCTTCAGGAGACTTGAGAAGGGCCCCTAGCTCAGTCCTCTGTGGTACTCCAGTTCCCAGACCCCCTCCTTGCTCCCCTGTCCCCCCACCTGTCCTCTGAGGGTCACAGGCTTCGAACGTAGAGTTGAGAATTTGCTCCTCTAGGTTGAGCAGTGGTCCTGAGCTCACTTCCTCAGGTTGCTCCCACAGGTACACTAAGGAGACAAGATGGGGACACCAGGTCCTCAGCCCTTGGGCTCTGCCAAGGGGAGGGAATTCCCTCCCAGATGCTTGGGGCTAGAACTGGGGGTGAGCAGCAGGAAGTGGTGGGTGAGATGACAACATGAAGGTCTTTGAGTCACTGTGTCCAACTGGCTGTGGACTCCAGATCACAAGTTTGATGTCATCCTTGCCTCCTCTCTTCTCCAGCCTCCCAGCCTGGGCTCTGAGGGGACCAGGAGTTGGGGAGGGCAAGGAGGAGAGGATTGTGGGAGGAGCTACGGGCAAGGTGGGGGTGCTTAGGAGCCTGGAACAATCCAATAAAGCATGGCGGTCTGCATCGATCCTGCCCACTTCATCTCCGGTCTCCCAGTTTGCCCCAGGGACCTGGTCCTTTCCCTCCCTTTATCCTCAGCCAAGGATAGCGTCATAGGAGCCAGCGGAGCCTGAGGCCTGGAGCCTGAGATGGGGAAGGATGGGTGATACTTGCGGGACAGAGTTGGGCTCAGAGCCCAGCTGCATGTCCGTGGGCAAAGAGCTTGGCCTTTCACATTCACGTGCGTGAGTGGGTATGTGTGTGTGCACATGTGGGCCTGTCCCAGGGTTGCTAATGTCATCAGTCGGCATGCAGCAGGTGTTTGATAAGTGCTCCATAACTTAGGGGAGATTCTCCATTCCACGAGTCCCTGGACTGACCCAGCCTCTCCCACAGGCTCCCAAATCTCTCTCTTGACCTTGGCCTACTGGGGGCTGCAGCTCACTGCACACAGTCTACAGGACCAGGGACCTGGGCTGGGGGCCCTGTGGTCTTGAGCAAGAGACTTGACCACAGCAAGATGTCACCGGTTCTGTTCCGTCTTTCCTCCTTGATTTCCTTCCTCAGCGCCTCTTATCTCCCCATCCCTGCCTTTCTTTATCTTTTCCCCAGTGTTTCTCTTCTCTGGGCCCAGCCTCTGTGTCTCTATGGTCCTTACTCAGCTTTCCTTCCTCATCTCTCCTCCCTGTGTTTCTCTTCCCATATCTCAGCAATTGTTCCCTGAGCCTTCTCTTTCCCCCTCCACTGCTCCTGTCTCTTCCTGGCCGTTCTCTCTCTGCATCTCCTGGGTGTGTCCCCCTCTCCTAAGGGTGCCTCTGGAGCTGGCTTAGCCTGTGCACGCTGTTCCCAGTGGTCTCACGCCCTCTGCTGGTATAGGAGAAGTTCAGACAGCAGTTACTAACCAGAACCCTGGGAGCTACCTATCATCCACCAATCTGGCAAGTCTCCTGAGCCCATGGCATAGAACAAGGGCCTTGGGACAAGGTGCAGGCTGTACCAGGAACACCTGGGAGTCTCTAGGAAAGGGACCTTGTTTCTGCCATCACACTAGGCTCTCCTGCCTGGCACCTTCCCAAAGGTGTCACTCACAAACTTGTCCGTGTGTACACATTCATTCACACAGTAACTTAGTTCCTTCTAAATGCATCAAGCTAGGACAGTGCTAACTGACAGGGCACACTGAGATACTCTGTTAAAATACACATGTTGGTTTTCTTTTTGTGGTGGCACTTGGATTTGAATCCAGGATCTTATGCTACCTAGACAAGTTCTTTACCACTTGAGCTATGCCCCAAATCCTTTTGCTTTTGCCATTTCAGACAGGGTTTCCCACTTTTGCCTGGGCCATCCTTAGATTGAGATTTCTTTCTTTCTCCACCTCCCAAATAGCTGGGATTACAGAAATGTATCACCGTGCCTAGCCTTACATTAAGAGCTAGAAAACATCACTGGAAACAAATGAGACTGGGTTGGTACATTTTACTATTAGTTATACGTAGAAAAGATACTAGTTTGGGGCTGGGAAGGTGGCTCAGTGGTAGAGCGCTTGCCTTACATGCCTGAGGCCCTGGGTCCAATTCCCCAGCACCACATAAGCAATAAGAAAAAAGCCGGCAGTGGCGCTGTGGCTCAAGTGGTAGAGCGCTAGCCTTGAGCTGAAGAGCTGAGGGACAGCGCCCAGGCCCAGAGTTCAGGCCCCATGACCGGACAAAAAAAAAAAAGAAAGAAAGAAAGAAAAGATACTAGTTTGGATCAATATGAGGTTGAATAGAATCTATTATCAATACTCATTTCACCTTTTTCTTTTTATAAATTACACCTATGGCTCACTTCTGGGACACCATACTCTAGAGGACAGAGGCTAAAGAGGTGACACCAGATGTCAGTGCTGGAAGGGCAGCTTAGCAGGGAAGAGGACAGGACAGAGGTGATGGGGCAGCTGTTTCATCCATAATTATAGGTAGTCTAAATGGAGGGGGTGGAGTGTGGGGTGTTCCATGCAGGTAGCGCAGCACATGTGGATTTCTCCCTCACACAGCCTGGCCTCCCAGAGCAGAGAGATGGGACATGGCAGCTGGTGGGAGCAGGGTAGACAGTCTACCATGGCTCCCTCCTGCTCACCTTGCACAGCCATCCAAGCCAGCTCTCCCAGGTCCCCAAATCACAGCCCAACAGCCACTTATCCCAGCCAGCCCCCTCCTCCTCCTCCTCCAGGACAAACAGGGGCCCAGACACCTACTTTCTGTAGTGGGACTGCCAGCCTGGCCTTCTGGCAGGTCCATAGGCCCCTCTGCAGTCGCCAGTGAAGCCACCAGCCTCCCACCATCAATGGGAGGGACAGGAAAGGGACTCGCTGCCCAGAGAGCTCCTGGAAGGACACGAAGGGCATTAGTTTCCTCAGACCTGCCACACGCAGGTGGGGACCCGCCCCCGCCCCACCTGCCCCCCCAGGCCCTCTGGGTTCTCAAAACCTGTTTGGCACCCCGCCTCCACCAGTCAGCTCCCTCTGCGCTCTGACCTGTTTTTATGGTGTGGGGTGGCAAAACAGGGGCTTGAGGAGTGGACAGCAGAGATCCAAGTGCTAGTGGTGGTGGTGGTGGGGTCACTGCTTTCCTAGAGGAAGGGGCAGACCTCTTCTCCCAACCCTCCCAGCCCTGTGACTTAACCCCGTCCTCCACTTCTCTCCTTCAGAGCTCTGCCTCAGCCTCTATATCCTCTCCCCGCGCCCATGTGTCAGCCTCCTGCTAGCCTCCAGTCTACACATACAACACCCCCCCCCCAAGCTGGCCTGTCCCCTCCCTTACTTTCTACAGTGCTCCAGTACCAGTGGCACAGCCCATAGGAGCTCCCCGTAATCACACTGGATTCTCTGGTAACTCATAACCACAGCTGTTCCCCACAGGGGCCTGCTGTTCCTAGCTCTGGTCTCTGCCCCTGTGGGAAATGTTTCTCCCCTCCTAGGCTGAATGGTGTACTGTGTCTGGGCTTCTACAGAACCTGGCAGCTGACATTTGTGCCGCTTTTGTTCTATATTTGGATAGTTGGTCACTCACACCAGCTCTTCCAGTCTCTCTAGTGCTCCCAGCTCTCCCAAGCACCCCAGTGGATAAGTCTATACCCTACTGACTGGGATACCACACAAGGGTCTCTGAAACCCCTTGCCTTTTGCCAAATATGTATGTATACACACACAGTATAATGTATATGAACTTTCTTCTTTTTTTGCCTGTCCCAGGACTTGAACTCAGAGCTTAGGTGCTGTCCCTGAGATTTTTTTGTTTAAGGTTAGCACTCTACCTTGAGCCATGGCATGACTTCCAGCCTTTTTGTTGTTGTTGGTGGTGATTAATTGGAAATATGAGTCTCAGTCTTGTGTATTTCCTACCCAGGCTGGCTTCAAACAGAGATCAGATTCAGCCTCTAGGATATAGGTGTGAGGCACTGGTGCCTGGCTATACTTTTTGTTTTGTTTTTTGCCAGAGCTGGGGTTTGAACTCAGAACCTTTAGCTCCATTGCTCAATGCTGGTGCTCTTCTGCTTGAACCACTGGTCTACTTATGACTTTTTGGTCATTAATAGGAGATAGGAGTCAAGGACTTTTCTGTCGCTGGCTTTGAACTATAATCCTCAGATCTCATCCTTCTGAGTAGCAAGAATTACAGGTATAAGACACCAGCACCTGGCTTATATTTACTTATTTGATTAAACAGTACTGGAAATGAAACTCAGGGTTTTCCCCTTACTTGACAAGCACTCTACTACTTCAACCACATCCCCAGCCTTTGTTATTTTATTGTTAAGACAGGGTTTAATTTACCAGGCTGGCCTCAAAACTTTTAAAAGCCGGATGCCAGTGGCTCATGCCTATAATCCTAGCTACTCAGGAGGCTGAGATCTGAGGGTCGCAGTTCAAAGCCAGCCCAGGCAGGAAAGTCCATGAGACTTTTATCTCCAATAAACCACTAGAAAACCAGAAATGGCACTGTGGCGCAAGCAGTAAAGCTCTTGCCTTGAGCTGAAGAGCGCAGGGACAGCGCTCAGGCCCAGAGTTCAAGCCCCACGACTGAAAAACAAACAAAAGCTTTTTGATATTCCTGTCTCTGCCTGCCAAGCAGCTGGGATTACAGTTGCATACCACCAAGCTCAAGCTCAGTTCTTCCTTTTTTTTTTTTTGTCACTTTTCTCTCCACCAGTTAATTCCCTCCCACCCCCCAACATCCCAGGTCCCCTATCATCCATGAAAATAGGTGCTCAACACTATCCCCTAGACCTGCTGCTCCCTAGTCCCTGGTCCCCCGAGTCTCAGTCCTACCCCCAGGCTTCTCTTTGTCCATAGCTCCTGACCCCACTTGGGTACCTAGGGAGTCTTCCAGGATTTCCTATATCGCACTTAGCATGGGAGCCACTGCCTTTTTCTTTTCTTTTTATTTGGGGATGAACACAGGGCCGGGAGCTTGCTTAGTCACTGGATTTCAGGGTCTCCGGCTGGACTTTGGGGGGTAGGGGTGGGGGTCTCGGATAGCATTCAAGGCTCTGACCCCCTGCTAGGAGAGGGAAATCCCGAATTCAATTTCAGAGAAATACTTGGTCAGGCTCTGAGGGGAGAAGTTCTACAGAATTTCTAGAAGATTCCAACCGAATTTTGGGGCTGACCAGAAAAGATTTCCTCGTGGGTTCGCTTCGGGCACTTCAGAGAGAGATGAATTACCTCAGGACTTTGAGGCCTTGAAGCGACTCGCAAAGCCCGGGACTGGGGTGTCTCTCTCCTCTGATTACTTTTTGGGGTGGGGGGGCTTGGTGAGGATTTCGGGAAGCGTCCTGGCAGGGCTACCCCACCCCCGGAACCTGGCGTGGGCAGGACGTACCTGGTATCGCACCCCACTCTTGGGACACAGTTGGAGGCCACGAACTACGACGACGACCAGCGGCAGTTGTCAGGGTTGGCGTGACAGCGGCGCGCATGCGCCTTTCCCGCCAGAAAAATTAAGGGGGAAGGGAAGTTTCCGGAGCGCGAGGCAGGTAGGCCACGCCCCTCCTCAACGACCACGTTGTAAGCGCAGGCACGTGCACGTAGTTCCTGTCAGTTACCTACATCCAGGGTGGCGCATGCGTAGGGCTATCCAACAGGCTCGCCTGGGCCAGCCTGAGTGGGCACATGCGCACTTCTGAAGCACGTGCAGGCTGCTGGGCTTTGTGGCTGGTGGCGGGAAAACAGAGGGGGCCGTGAAAGCTGGAAATGCCGTCATAATCATGTCCAGCCTGGTCCAGGGGCATTGGAACCCAAGCCACTCCCACATCCTTTTCGTGGCTCCATTCAGGTTGTATTATTAAGTCCTTTCAAAGGTTTCCTTTTCCAGATTATTCCATTCAGTCCTTTTTGGAAAGAGTGGGTGGGATGACTCCCACTTCAGCTTTGATAGCTCGAGAGATCATCTCTACTCACTGTGTTTTAAGTCTTCCTGGAGTATTTCACCAGGCAACATGATCTATTTTAGTACCTGTTCCCCCTACCTCCCCAGGTCCCACTCTCCTCATTTATGTGGAATGAGATTTTTGGACACTGTGATATGCCTGGCCTAGTTTGAATGCCTAAAATTTTTTCTTGAGGGCTTGGAAGGTGGCTCAGAGTGCTTGCCTTGCATGCATGAGGCCCTGGGTTTGATTCCTCAGCGCTACATAAGCAAAAAGCAAAAAAGCCGGAAGTGGTGCTGTGGCTCAAGTGTTAGAGCGCTAGCCTTAAGCTGAAGAGCTGAGAGACAGCGCCCAGGCCCAGAGTTCAGGCCCCACAACGGGACCCCCCTCCCAAATTTTTTTTTTCTTGAGGCTGAGCTTGGTAGTGCATAACTGTAGTCCTAGCCCTCAGGAGCATGAAGCAGGAGAATCACAAGTGAGGCCCATCTTGGCTATAGAGTAAGGCCTTGCTTCAAAGAAGAGTTCAAGCCTCAAGACTGACCAAAAATAAAAATTGTTATTGTTGGTTAAATGAATGGAATCCATGTCTTGTATTCACTGAGCAGGGTAGAGTGATGGTAAGGAAGGCCCTTTCAGACATTCTTGGGTTTAAATTTTGGCTCTAGAACTTCCCAGTTAGGACATTGGAATGATGACTTTTCTCTCCCTAGAGATGTTAATGGTTTCTTAGAGTGCCTTGAGGGCTTCAGGTGCTAATTGAAGTTGATAGAAGGTCAGTTAATTGGTAGGTGCTGTTTTGGGTATTAGATGGTGGCTTATTATAAGGCCTGGGAAGAAACTTGTTGGGCAGGTGCTTTATTGACTAATTAAAAAGCATGGCAAACCAACTGGGGTTGTTGCTCAAGGGTCTTAAGTGCTTGCCCAGCAAGGCAAAGCTTGGACCTTAATCCCCAGTTGTCTCCCCTCTCCACCCCCCCAAAAAAAAATCATGAGAGGAAGAACCAAGCCAAAATTTAATACCATTGCTATGTGATCTTGGCAAATGACTTTACCTCTTTTGTTTTTTCTTTGTGCCAGTACTGGGGCTTGAACTCAGGGCCTGGGCATTGTTTTAGCTTTTCCTCTCAAGAATAGCGCTCGACCACTTGAGCCATAGCTCTACTTCTGGCTCTTTACTGGTTAATGGGAAAGAAGGCTGGCTGTAAATCTTTTTTTTTTTTTTTGTCGGTCGTGGGGCTTGAGCTCTGGGCCTGGGCGCTGTCCCTGAGCTCTTCAGCTCAAGGTGAGCACTTTACCACCTGAGCTACAGCGCCACTTCCAGTTTTCTGGTGGTTTATTGGAGATAGGAGTCTCACGGTCTTTCCTGCCTGGGCTTGGCTTTGAACCGTGATCCTCAGATCTCAGCCTCCTGAGTAGCTAGGATTACAGGCGTGAGCCACCGGTGCCAGGCCTGGCTATAAATCTTGATCCTCACATCTCAGCCTCCTAAAAGGATAACAGGCCCTATTATAAACAAAAGCAAAAAGGATTGGTGTGCCTCAAGTAGTAGTCCTGGAGGTCCTGAGTTTGATTACCCATAGTGACCAAAAAAAAAGGAAAAAAGTCCCTAGCAGGCTAACAACTTGATCATGGCCTTGTGAGACTCTGGCCAGCAGGCCCACAACCGACCAAAAACAATAACAAAAAATGCATTGTTGCTTTGGTTCGTTTGTGTTAGTGGTCACTTGTGGTTTGGTTTTTTTTTTGTCTGTCATGGGGACTGAACTCTGGGCCTGGTTGCTGTCCCTGAGTTTTTCAGCTCAAGGCTAGTGCTCTACCACTTGAGCCACAGTGCCCACTTCTGGCTTTATCTGCTTATGTGGTGCTGAGGAATTAAACCCAGGGCCTGGGTAAGGGAAGCACTCTACCACTGAGCCACCTTCCCAGCCTTTGGTGTATGTTTTTGGATGGAAGTAAGATTGAACTCAGGGCCTATCCAGGCTAGGAAGTACTCTAACCATGTGAGCCATGTCCACAGACCTTTTGAGACAGGGTTTTGTGTGTTTTGTTTTTGGTCATGGAGCTTGACCTTAGGTTCTAGGCATTGAGCCTGAACTCTTTCACTCAAGGCTAGCACTCTATCACTTTGAGCCACAGCTCTGTTCTGATTTTTGAGTGGTAAATTGGGGATAGTCTCACAGGGACTTTTCTGCCCAGGCTGACTTCAAACCAAGATCTTCAAATCTCAGGCCCCTGAATAACTATGATTATAAGTGAGCTACCAGTGCCCGGTAACAGGATCTTCTTAACTTTTCTGGGGATGGCCTTGAACTCTTAATCCTCTTGTCTTCACCTCCTGAGTAACTGGAATTATAGACAGGTGCTACCATACCTGTCTTTAGTGGTCATTTGTTATAGCAGTCAGAAGAATGTAATATGGGGGGTGCTAACTGGCCAGATAGGCCTGGAGGGTTGAAGGTGACAGGCCCAGGGAACTGACTGGAGGGGATGGAAGACAGAGTCTGAGGGTTAGGGTTTATAGTTTAAGAGACTGAGGTAAGAGCCAGTGCAGGCAGACATGCTTGGGAGAGGTTGGGTTGAAGTTACCTTCTGTGGCCTAGTCAGGAGACGGTGCTGCTAGATGTAAGAAAAAACTGTATTTCAATATGATGTTGGGGGGAGGGGTGCAAATCTGGAGGGAAGGACATGCAGGGACTGGGGGTTCCCCTCCCTCCACCTATAACTGCTGGGAGGGTCTGAGGATGTACAGAAAGTGGGTCTTGCGCGCTGGAGGCTTAGAGTGAGAAGAACCCTGGATTCCATCTTCCAGGATATCCTCGCGGGTCCCCTCGCGGAGCCCATCCCGGATGGCCTGCAGCCGATGCCGCTTCTCACTGAGCCACTGGCCAGCCTCTTGGCCATCCTGGCGGGACTTGCGGCGCGGCAGCTTCATGATCCAGAAGGCAACCCGAGGATGGGGCTCTGGGCGGAAGCTGTCCATGGCCTTCCGGAGGGGCACCAGGGCTTCTTTCTCTTCTATCTTGGGCACCTGGGGAGAAGGAACAAGGAGATGGTCTCACATCCCACCTGCCAATCGCCAAGGCCTCTTAGTGCCCACTGGGAGGGGTGGAAATCTGCTCTGTAAGCTCACGGTGTGAGCAGGGGGAGGGGGGTGGAGGTCATCAAACTCAGTTTGAGGTTTACCAAGCACTTGGGTTTGCAAACACTTCAAGATTAAAAATATTGGCTACCCTAGGTGATGGATGCCTGTAATCCCTGCTACTTGCGAGGCAGAGGTAGGAGAATTGAGGTCCAAAAGTGTAAGAGGAGACTCTATCTATCTATCTATCTATGAAAAGGATAGCCAGGCACTGGTGGCTCATGCCTATAATCCTAGCTGGAGGCTCATGCCTATAATACTAGGTACTTAGGACGCTGAGATCTGAGGATCAGGGTTGGAAGCCACCCTGGGCAGAAAAGTTACAGTGAGGTTCTTATCTCTAATTAGCCACTCAAAAACCAGAAGTAGCACTGTGGCTCAAGTGGTAGAGCGCTAGCCTTGATCACAAAGGTTCAGGGATAGTGCCCAGGCCCTGAGTTCAAGCCCTGCAACCAATAATAACAACAACAACAAAAGAATCCTACTCAGGAGGCTGAGGTCTGAGGATCGCAGTTCAAAGCCAGCCTGGATAGAAAAGTCCGTGATACTCCTATCTCCAACAAACTAATCAGAAAAAGCTGGAAGTGGTGCTGTGGCTCAAGTGGTAGAGTGCTAACCTCGGGCACAAAGAGGCTCAGGGACAGAGCCCAGGCCCAGAGTTCAAGCCCCAGGACCAGCGAAGAAGGAGGAGGAGGAGGAGGAGGAAGAAGGGAAAGAAGCAGCAGCAGCAGCCAATGGCACAGCTCCCACCTAGCTACCTGGGAGGCTGAGATCAGAAGGATTGAAGTTTTTAGGCCAGACAAGCAAAAAGTTCTCTAGACTCCTCAACCAATAGCTGGTGGCACTCGCCCACCATCTTTGCTATGTGGGAAGTTGAGAGATAGAGGATTGAGACTCCAGGCTGGCCCCAGGCAGTAAAATCCACAAGAGTCCATTCTCAAGAAGAAGCTGGGCCGGGCGCTGGTGGCTCACACCTGTAATCCTACCTACTCAGGAGGCTGAGATCTGAGGATCGTGGTTCAAAGCCAGCCCAGGCAGGAAAGACTGTGAGACCCCTATCTCCAATAAACCACCAGAAAACTTGAAGTGGCGCTGTAGCTCATGTGGTAGAGCGCTCGCCTTGAGCTGAAGAGCTGAGGGACAGCGCCCAGGCCCAGAGTTCAAGCCCCACGACTGAAAAACAAACAAAAAAAAGAAGAAGCTGGATGTGGTAGTACATGCCTGTCATCCCAGCTACAGAGGGAAGTAGAAAACAGGAGGATCATAGTACAGGCACACACTCTGGCAGAAATTAAAAACAAAAACAACCAGGACAAAAAAAAAAAGGCTAGAAGCATGGCTCAGTTAGTGCACAGTGTGGTGGCACTAGCTTGTAGTCCCAGAACTTGGGAGGCTGAGGCAGGCAGGAGGATGATTGTTTTGAGGCAGGGCCTCCAACACTCCATTCTCTTGCCTCAGTCTTCCTAGTGCTGAGATTATAGGCATGCACTACTGCACTCAGCTCAGAGCCCTTACTTCAAATAAAAACACTGAAATTGAGCCTCTGAATTTACAAAACACATCGAAGTCCACAAACTCTATGTAATTTACTAAATATCTGGAGATGTATTCTGAGGTTACTATCAAAGCTATTTGTCCCTTATAACAAATAACAAAGAGTAAGTTCCAGAAAAAAAGATGAGAATGAGACAGAGAGAGAGAGACAGACACAGAGAGACAGACACAGAGACAGAAAGATGAGAGAAAGATGAGAATGAGACATAGAGAGACAGAGAGAGAAAGGGAGGAATAGAGAAATGACTTCTCTCCCTTCTAGTCTACAGGAATGTTGGGGGCTTGGACACTGGGAGGTGGGGGCAGTTCCTAACCTTCCAGTCACCTTCCACACTTCCCTCTGGCTCAATGGAAGCCACCACCTTCTCAGAGATGAGCACCTCTCCGGTTTTGTTGTCAGTCATCTGAGAGAATGAAATGAGGGAGTGAGGGCAAATCCCCTTCCCTCTCTACCCTTCCTTCCCCACAGGTACTGCAGCATGCTGGATGGTGGGCAGACTCTAGGGAGGAGAGGCTTCCCTGTAGAGACACCTTGTCGATCTGGAGGTGGCTAGAGAGAGTATTGTTCCCCAGCCGGCGCTCCTGGTTCTCCTCTTGGTGGAAGTTCCTGGGAAGACCCCGAAAGTCCATAGGGGCAGAGAAGAAGCTGTCCAGACCCCGTAGTAGGTCATCCTAGGGCCAAGGTGGAAACCAATGAGCTGCTGGACATCACATCTATGAAGTATACCTTTGCCTTGCTCCTAGTCCCTCCTCTCCCCTTCTCTCCAGTTCTCTGATCCTTAGGATCTACTATGCCCTTGTCCCTAAGCCCCATCTGTCCTGCCTCTATTCCTCCTTCCATTGCTTTACTATTTCTGCCCCTCCCTTGCCTTCACCCTCTCTTCTCCTCCGCTATTTTATCAAGCCCATCTCCTTCTCTTCCATTTTTTTCCTTCCTTTTTTTTTTTTTGTGTGTGTGTGCCCTTACTGGGGCTTGAATTCAAGGCCTCTGTGTTCTTGCTTGGCTTTTCTCACTCAAGGCTAGACTTCTACCACTTAAGCCACAGCTCCTCTTCCTCCCTGGAGAGAAGCGTCTCAGACTTTCCTGTCTGGGCTGGCTTCAAACCGCGATCCTCAGAACTCAGCTTCCTGAATGGCTGAGATTACAGGTGTGAGCCCTGGAGCTAGGATCCTCTCTTCCTGTCCTAAGCGCGCCCCCCCCCCCTGTCGCTTTGACTCCTTTTCTTGTTAATCCCCTTGCCAGACCCCACTCCATATCCCAGAAATCCCACTCTGCTCTTTCCCTGCAACCCCTGGGCCCTCTCTTACTTTCAGGAAAAGTCGGCTGAAGCTTTGGAGGAGGCTCTGGAGGCCTAGAAATCCCGAGGGGCTCTCCTGCGAGTCAGAATCGTGGATCGGGGCTGCACAAGTTGGGGGCACCAAGGCCGAGGGGAGCAGCAGCAGCAGCAGCCATGGGACCAGCGGACCCCACATAGCGGGGCGGGCGGGCAGGAGGCTGTGGCAAGGGAGAGGGAGGGTCAGAGCCCCCCATCCCGCCCTGGCCAACCCCCCAGCCACCCCACCACCCCTCTACGGCCCCTTGCCCAGGCTCCGCCCTAAGCCACGCCCACTCTCCTTAATTAAAAAATTCCCACCCCTTCCTCACCGGTGTCTACGCCCCGCCCCTTCTTCTGAACCCCGCACTTTTGCTAGACCGCAGCCCGGTCACCGGACTCCCAGACTCCGGACTGTTAAAATCCAAACAGATGTGGCCTCGAGCACGGGCAGAATAGCGGGAGCGTTAGAAGTGCTCCTCGAGGCCTGGCCACGCCCTCATTGTCTGACCACGCCCCCTACGCGTTGACCTCATGCCTGAACCCTCACCACCTCCGCACAGAGCCACGCCTCCACGTGCAGAGGCACGCCCCCATTCTTCGTTAACCACACCCCTTAGGTGGGAGCTGTTCGTGACTTGGCCACGCCCCTGAGATAAGCCACGCCCCACTCGGGTGACCAGACTTGTAGACAGACTCATCTGCATCGTTAGAACCACGCCCCTGAGCTTGGGTCAGGCCTGAGTCCCTGGAAAACCCCAATTCCGGCCCTATTATTCCATTTTCCAAGAAAAGCAAAGTCCAGCATTCTTTCTCCCTCAGGACTCTGGAGTCCCCTTGTCAGCCCTCTCTTGAGTGTTAAGACACAACTATTATTATTATTAATTATTATTATTATTGCCAAGAGTCTCTCTAACCTAGCCCAGCCTAGAACTCACGATCCTCCTGCCTCAGCCTCCTGAGGTTGTGCCAGGGTCACAGGCTTGCATTACTACCCCCATCTCCAGGCAGGAGTCAGGATCCCAAGCTCTTTCCTCAAGCACAAAGTGTTCTCCCCATCCTAGGACACGGTCCACTAGGACATACAGGACTCCGAACTTGGAGCGACTTTCTAACTCCGGTGATTTTTGCCCATGACTTAGTTTATTTTGACTTTTGTTTTGTTTTGGACACAGCCCCAAACCGGCCTCCAGCTAGAGATCTTCCTGCCTCCAAAATGCTGGAATTACGTGCGCCCCCCACCCCCCGCCAGGACTCCTCCAAAATGCTGGAATTACGTGCCCTCTCCCCCTCCTCCCCCCGCCAGGACTCTAAGTCACAAAAAAGTTACGTTGTCACAGGGATTGATGGGAATCCATGCCAGTACCCCAGATCCAAAATACATTCTTGGGGATAACAGTTGTGATTCTTTTGTATTCCTGTCACTTCCAGAGTCTCAACACACGAACATATTACAGGGTAGTCCAAGCCCAGCCCTCCTCCCTCAAACCCAAGAGTCCAGACCCCGGCCCCCCAGCTTTCTCCTTCAGACCCAGGGATCCAAGCCCCAGCCTCCTCCCTCCGACCCAGGGGTCCGGGCCTCAGCCCTCCTCCTTCAGACCCGAGAGTCCAGCCCCTGGGTCGGAACCCCTAATCCTCCTTCTGGCATC